GAGAGAGAGAGCAAGAGAGAGAGAGAGAGAGAGAGAGTGAGAGAGAGAGAGAGAGCAAGAGAGAGAGAGAGAGAGAGAGAGAGAGAGATAGATAGATAGATAGATATAGAGAGAGAGAGAGAGAGAGAGAGAGAGAGAGAGAGAGAGAGAGAGAGAGAGAGAGAGAGAGAGAGAGATTCGAAATTCAAATCCAAAATACTTCGATCCATTTAAAAACAATAGTCCCTTTTGACATAGAAGGTAGTTACATAATGCAGTGATATGGTATAGGGGAAACAATATCAAGTACGGAAATATCAAGGTATGGATATCAATATCAAATGTTGTTATTTTAATTTCATTTTAAAAGCTTTCACGTTAGAAATATGTCTAGGCTTTTGAAGCGGGTAATTCCATATAATGGATTGAAGGATACGTATATGTCTTGCCTCTGTCAACGTGTATGATCTTTTGACGCGAAGAGAGTAAATCCGTTTTGCCTTTTGCGTACTTTTTTGTTTGTAAAATAGGGAACGGCGATAATCCCCTTGTGTGAATTTATGAATGAGAGAAGGAGAGATAAATAGATAGAGAGTTGTTTGCTAGTACAGAGCTTTTTAAACTTTTAGTAGAAATATATTCCTGTATTTTACCTTCACGAATACAAATGTTTTAAGAAAAAAAAAACATAATTACTGTATAAGAAAAGAAATTGATAAACGCCTTTAGGTGATGTTAGGCTAGGTTAAATTTCTACAGTTTGTCTTATGTTTTCACCTAAAAGAAAATAACATATGCTAAATATTATGCGACACACCTGGAGGGCAGTCGTAACACGTGTCAGTGTCATAATTTTTTCTTGTTTCATATGTTCCAGAGTACCTGAAAAAAATTCTGTTGCAAAATTTCGGAAGATTCCATTGGTTAAATAAACTGTGATAGGTCCATGCTTCTTAATCTCTATATGCCTATACGATTCTCTCTCTCCCTCTCTCATCTCTCTCTCTTTCTCTCTCTCTCTCTCTCTCTCTCTTTCTCTCTTTCTCTCTCTCTCTCTTTCTCTCTTTCTCTCTTTCTCTCTCTCTCTCTCCTTTCTTTCTCTCTACCAGAATTTCATTGAATCCTAAGACCTCACAAGACAAAAGAGTTTAGCTCAAGACTGCTTGATTCCTCCTTCTTTTTGGCATCTGCAGGAAATAACTGGAGATGCGCCGGGACTCTACATCACTTCGTAGAGGCGATGGAGGACAGGATCTCCTACGATAAGGCTAGATGCGGCGATATCAAGTGCCCGACGGATCAGGAACACAGGTATTGCAGCCTCGAGGTGGGCATGAACCTGACGAAGACGTATGTGAGTAGCTGTGCATTTAGTTTTTCTTGGCGTTGTTGTGTGTGTGTTTTTTCTGTCTCTTTCATTTGGTCTCGATTTCTTTCTTTCTTTTTTTTTGTTTTCTTTCTTTGTCTGTTTGGTTCTGTTTCTGTCTTTCTCTGTTTGTTTCTGTCTCTCTCTGTAATGGGTATATTTTGACCTCTTATACATTGGTAACAGGGCAGTAAAAGCTTGGTGGCTTTAGAGACTCTTTATTCTGTAAGAGTTAAGCACACAGAAATTAATACACACACAAGAAATATTGAGGGTATGCTTCGCCTAAGGTCACGCCGCGCCCAGGGATCAGACTTGACCCAACAGCGGCGGCACTGACTCTGCCTGACCGGGTCACACGCGGGCCTTAAGTATCCGACCTCGTGGTGGGCGCGTCATGGCGTGGTGACGCGTCGCTGGGCAGCATGGCGTGGCCGCCACGTGGCCAGACTTTGGCGTGGTGGGCACCGACATGGCTAACGAACTGCTACGTGTCCTATACTGCTTACTTCACAGTATATTGCTTGGTCACCTACTAACGCCTCGTCCCCGAGGCGACCTAGACTTGCCTCAAGGGTGACCCAACCTGGCTGGTCCTAACTTGCTCGTCCTCGATCTAGCGTGCGGTATCCCTGGTGCATTTCCGTGGCTGCTCGTCCTTGTCGTCATCCTCGTCCTGGTCCCTGGTAAATCCGTCCATCCTCGACATCCACACGTCCTCGATGGTCTCGCCCAGGTCCTCCTTGACTTCGGATTCGCCGAGACTTCCTCGTAGTCCACGTCCAGGTCTAACTCGGCGGCTTACTCGCCCAATGCACGTCTCACAGATCCCTCCATGTCCTTCTCAGCTGTGCGCTCGTACAGACGTCCCCGTAATCTCGTCAGGATCTATGGCGTCCGGCAGGAAGCGCCCTCTTCGGCATCGCAGGGGGGCTGATACCTGCGATGACGAACTCCTGTAGTTTGACTGGATCTGCGGCGTCCAGGCAGGCGGCGCCCGTCCACAGCATCACGGGGCGACTAATACCTGCGCTGGCGAGTTCCTGGTCATTCGTTGGATCTATGAGCGTCTTGGCAGGCAGCGTCCTTAGTACCTGCTCTGACGAACATCCTGGTCTCCAGGCTTCTGGCGATCTTCCGATGACGTATTTCAATAGCTTCCGAAGGTGACCGCTTCTGCAGCAGGGCCTCCTTCGGTGCCATTTCAGATATCGTGAACCAGATTATACACATAAAGGCCAAGATAGTAAGAGAGGGAAAGACAACAGAGGAGAGGTGTTAAATGCCACTAGCCGAATTTTGTTTTATAATTTGCAGTTTTTATGGTCGAATTTTCGTTATTTTCATCTTTTTTTCATTTTGTGCTTTACGTTCATAAAGTTAAGGTTGAAGAAGAAAATAGGAGAGGGAGGCGGCAATAGCGTCTGCAAGGACTATTTTGAACTACCAAACCTACCAAAACGAGACTAAAGAAAGGGAAACGACAATTGACAATCTGCAAGGATTTGCTTGAATCAAATGTCGAAACAGAAAGGAAAGTATGCAAAATATGCATTCATGTACAAGTCACACATCACGACTGACAAAATCGCGGGCAAAGATATACGTACGCCTGCAAATACGACAGCAGCAAACCCTATTAATGAAGGTTTCAGTGTCTTTTGTTCTGCGTTGGTGAGTGAGTGACTGTATGCATGTTTGAGTGACAGTGAGTGGGAATGTCAAATGAAAGTGAGAGTGACCTCATACAGAGTGGGAATGTGGCCAACGTGGAGAATAAAGTTCAACAATAATCTGACTAATTATTCATAGACGTAATACAAAATTATGTCGACTACCACATTGAATCAACATTTAATGATATGCCACAGAATGACGCATTAATGAATGGTGACGTGAAAATTATTTGCAAGCTCTTCGCGAGCGAATCTTATCGGAACTGCCGAGGTAAATAAGTATAAACTGGGCATGCAGTCTTCATTGATGGGGAGACTGGACCCAAAAGTGCCATACTTTATGAAGCTAAACGAGCTGGGGAAATCTATAAATAACCTACTCTATCTGCGGATCTATGATGGGCGCTCATGAAATGCCCTACGGGGATTTATCATGAATCACAAACTGATGGGATTAACCCAAATATGCCAGCGACATTTAAAGGTGTGTGCAAGGTGTGATTAATAAGTGATTTCTGAATCAAACATAAACCTGAGTCCTACATTAGTTAACGGACATAAGTGTGGTCACACTGGCTCCAAAGTTTTGCCGAGCGTATGAATTACTTTGGTTACCTAACCTACTATCATTCGTCGGGATGCAGGCCTATTAAGCATAAATGTAACCTCAATTATGAGGGACAATCCTGGCGTTAACTTCAAATATATAATTGTCGCATTACAAGCTCCATTTTAGCGCCGATAGAACGTGTCACCAATGAACATGTAACGGTTGCGATGCATTATCCATATATTGTGACAATTAGTGGAAACAATTAAAAGGAAATAGCAAGCTGTTTTCTTAGCCATTTCATTGTGTCAATCACTCAAGGTCAAGTCAGGTCAGATTTGCCCCAGCTGATTAGCCAGGCTGACTTAATGACTTTCACGTCAGGTCAGGTCAAGACAGGAAATGGCCATGAGAAGAAATTAATGACTGAATGTTTGTGAAAGGAATAAAATCATGAACGCGCTAAATTCGTTATAATTCTCTAATCACGAGAAAAAACTAAATAAACACTTAATAAATGAACGATATTAATGTTTGACTTCATACCCTATCACACGGTAATGAATGTTATGAGGTCAGAAGAATGAGAGTGTGCTATTTGCTATCACTTAGCACTTTACCCGACAAACCTAATGTGAGCATGACTGTACATACGGCTTAATACATTTAGGGAGAAGATAGAGAAGAAATGAAAGAGAAGGGCCCAAAATGTGTAATCACGGTTTTGAAGATTTTCTTCGTTGTGTTTACAGTGGCGAGCGGATATCTTTGGAAAAGCTTGGTTCGAGATGTGAGCCGAAAGATCACAACAACCACCGCCTGCCACCAGATGTAAAGGGTATATTTTGACCTCTTATACATTGGTAACAGGGCAGTCAAAGCTTGGTGGCTTTAGAGACTTCTTATTCTGTAAGAGTTAAGCACACAGAACTTAATACACACACAAGAAATCTTGAGGGTATGCTTGGGTCGCCTAAGGTCACGACGCAGCTCCAGCCCCCAGCGGGCAGAATGGCCACGCCCAGGGATCAGACTTGACCCGACAGTGGCGGCACTGACTCTGCCTGACCGGGATAAGGATAAGTCCGATATGCGAAGCTGAGCTTCGCCCAGGCTATGAGGGGAACCCGGCCTGTGCCGACTAATGTCGACTTGCTAACAGTGTGTCAGCAGGTGCTGACTCGGGTGAGATTAGTCCTTACCCGCTGTGGTGCCCAGTCACAGCAGTAACCCATAGGCGACAATTGCAACTTCTCGCGCCTGGGCGGGGCGCGAACCGCCGACCCCTCGGATGAGAGGCCGACACGTTACCACTGTACTAGCCCGGAGGTTAGCCTGATTGGGTCACACGCGGGCCTTAAGTATCCGACCTTCGCGTGGGGGGCGCGTCATGGCGTGGTGACGCTCCGCTGTGCAGCATGGCGTGGCTGCCACGTGGCCAGACTGGCGTGGTGGGCACCCACATGGCTAACAAACTGCCACGTGTCCTATACTGCTTACTACACAGTATACTCTCTCTCTCTCTCTCTCTCTCTCTCTCTCTCTTTCTCTCTCTTTACTTTCTTTTCTGTACGCTGTTTCTTCTTTTGTTTTGTTAGCATGTCATTCTCATTTTCGTTGACACTCTCAGTCAGATGCGAAATCGGTCCAGTTGATTTTGTTTTAAAGGTCTCAGTAACATCGTCAGTGCCTTAGAAGCAGCTTTGCCATTTATTTGATTATAATGCAGTTTCAAATTAAGACTGTTATGAAAATGAGACCACCATTCACAACACGTGCATGTAGAAAAAAGAGAAAAAAACACTTTTAATACACATCCACTTTAAAATACCAAGTGAACGAGTGAAAATCAGCATAATGATAAACCTCCAAATTTACAGGGACTCAAGGAAATTGAATGTCCTCCAGTCTGCGTGTGTTCCATGAATCTCTATAGCGGTTTGTTCCACTACATGGTGAACTGTGTAAAGGCTAACATTACGGACGAAACAATACCCCCTTTTCCACAAGCTACAATGAGCCTAGATCTCTCACAAAACAAGGTGAGTTGAGGTAAGAATGCGTTGGAATATAAGGGATATTATAAACTATTCTTAGGGTGTGAAGTTACGGGTATCTGTTGTAACAAAGGCAGAAAATAAGGTAAGAATGAGAATGAATAACAGCGATAGTGATGTAGCTGACGTGGTGAGGAATATGAAAATAAAACGAGTGTCAAAATTTTATCCAAATAATGAATTGATAATCAAAACGCGTCAGATATGTCTCGTGTGTTGTCCCATTCATACCTGTTTTCTTCCATTCACATAAAAGGTTACATTATAGATACACTACAAGATATACTATTCAATACTAGAAGGTAGGATATCATTGTCACTGAAAGCTATTGCAAATGAGCCACTATGAGCTAACAAGCATACGTATTATTGGGATACATGACTGAAGGGATAAAGGTATTTTCTTCTAGTTGTTATTCTCTTCAAACTGCTATAAAAATCGCCACGAAGCAATGAATGTCGTTTCATATGCAGCATATATTCAGGTCATATCTTCATAGTCCGATGTAAAAACTAAAATAGCCAGTTTAAGAAAAGGGTATCAAAAAGCTGTTTTTGTAGTATGTATCAAAGCCACAAATGCAGGCTGTACAGTCGCTTGGTTTTAATCATGTTCTTCTGTGCTGTCATTAACATCATTGTTGTAGTTGTTGTTTTCATTTCGTTTTTGTATGATTACCGTTATCAACCTTTTCATTATGTGTTCGTGTTTTTATCATAATTTTTTATCATCACTGTCATTATTATCATCACCATTGTTATCATCACCATCATCATTTTTATTATTTATATTAACTCCATTATGATGACCCCAACAATTCACATCCTATCCTATACCACTTCTTCGCTCTGCAGTGCCATGTTGTTCATGTGGTGGAACACATCTCCCCTCTTGTGTTCAGAGTTTCCCCTTTCGAATATTGTACCAGTTTAGCCAACTCTGATTGATTAAGGGGACGTTTGGTCTGATATCTGTTTCTAATTAGATTCGATAATTATTGCTTTCTGTGTGTTTGTGTGTGTATGTGTGTTTATTAGTTTGTGCTTGTCTGTGTGTGTGGTTGCTTGTGTATGGGTCTTTGTGTCTTTGGGGGTATGTATGTGTTTGCATATATGCCTTTGTGTTTATTTGTTTGTATCTCTCTCTCTCTCTCTCTCTCTCTCTCTCTATATATATATATACATATACATATTGTGTTTTTGTGTGTGTGTAGTCGTTTGTGTGTGTCTTTGTGTTTTTAGCATGTATGTGCGTTTTTGTGTATGTGTGTTTATTTGTTTGTATGTATGGGATAGAACAAACAAACAAACAAACAAACTAAAAACTACGCACCCAAGACGACAGTCCTGACACCTTCTCCTTGCAGCTGACATCCACAGAGCCTCTGTTTAAGAAGCTGAGTGAACTAAAGAATCTGCAGATCGTGTTCTTAGGAGACAATCAGCTCGAGTCCGTTCCCTACTTCAAGAACAACTTCGCCAAACTCGAGCAAATGTTCCTCAATAACAACAATATTAAATGGGTCAGTAGCGCAGGAAACTTCCTTTTCGTTCCCACATGTCTTTATAAATGTATATATATATAAATATAATATATATATATATATATATATATATATATATATATATATATATATATATATATATACATATACATACATATATATATATATATATATATATATATATATATATATATATATATATACATACATATATATATATATATATATATATATATATATATATATATATATATATATATATATATATATATGTTTGTGTGTATGTGTGGGAGGGTATGTGAAATTATATGTTTATGATTTATGTACGTATGTGTGTACGTATGCATTATATATTCATATATATACA